TTTGAGCTTTATTTGAGTTCTGGGTCTGGAGCAGAGCTGTGGTGATATTTTTTTCCATGACACACCCCAATTCTCTGGACATTACCGACATTGCTAGACTCCATCTTGAGCAAGTTTCTCCCTTCAATCTTAAATTCTGCATTTTTTCTTCAATACTGTACAATTCCTTGTGGTGCTGCATGCAGAGGTCATATTTTGGAGCACAGGGTTTACTGTTATACCTTTTAATGGCTACTGTAAACAGAATCTGGAGGTGATACTGTTGTGTGTGTGTGTGTGTGTGTGTGTGTGTGTGTGTGTGTGAGTGAGAGAGAGAGATCAGCCTGCAAGACGAAAAAGTCTCTGATGTAGTGTCGTCTGCAAGATCATGTTTAAGTGAATTAACCTCCAGACGTGCAATTGTAGTTCTTTTTTTAATGAGGGAAACTGAATTCTTATCCCCCTTAAAGACAATCAGATTATTACAGCACAACATTTTTCCCCCTGCCTGGCGAGTCATGTCTTATTTCTGTCTTGAGGTGATATCTGTTTTATCCGTGCACAGCATGTGTACAACAAATGAATGTCACATAAATCAGTTCTCACACCACGAACCACAGTCAGATCAGATTAATGTTTTGGCCAGTTCATCTCAAATAAAACAGAAAGTACCAGACAAGTCTGAGCAGGGCCGAATTAGTGAAGTTTATTGGTTATATCTTACGAAGAGCCAGTTTGAGGCTAGATTTTAAAGGCTTATACGGCTGTATGCCACCAAACTGTGGGGGGGGGGTAATTTTACATGAGCGTGTACTGACATCGTTCTTCCTTGGAATTAAACACGCTGCGCCTTTGTTACTGTATGTAAATTAGCCCTTTTCCGATTGCCCTGTATTGTGCCTTATTTTAAAAACAAGCACTCATAACTTCATCATGAATGGACAGGGATAAGCTGCTGTTGGCTGAATAGGCAGATAAATGTCAGATATTGGAAGATTTGTTTTTCTGTCAGTCCCTTTATGTGCAAAGATTCCCAGCCCAAAACCAGACACCACATTTCAAACAAGCCCAAAGTGGTTTTCTATACTGATGGACAATTCATATGTTTATTTTTAAGGCAACAGAGCCAATAAATACAAACTTTCGAAGGTTTGCAGGTTGCACTGTAAAAAATGGCTCATCAGATCAACCTAAAAATGACTTCATGTGGTAACAAGTAAATTAACTAGTTTTATTCAACCTAAATAAATACTTTGAACGAATGATTCTGTGGCAGCAAAACACTTAGATTTAGGTCAAATTCTGTTTAAATCCCTTTGTTTGCATAAAGAGATCATCGTCTGCAGAGGATGAACCCACTTGAGGCGAACAGTTCACACAATTTTATACGTTCCCTGCCCCCTCCCGAAATGCATTCTTCTATAGCCTTTTAACCAATCGGACATACTCAGCCGCTTCTGACATCAGCACCTTACACGTGGGCCACGCTACCCTTCCTGAAAAAAACAGCTGGGCGCTTCTATAGGATAAGCCCCCATTTGTCTTTCTCAGCATGGCTTCTGAGTCCACTGGGCGTTCCATCAGCACACCTGATAGTGTGTATACGTTCCAGGAGGCCTTCAGGGAGACCACCGGTGCTCTACCCAGAGCATAATCATTCATGGGTCACTGATGGGAAAGATTTAATAAAACATTCAAAGATCCAATAAAACATTCCCTGATTAATAATCAATAAATTAAATATTGGCTAACTTGAGCATTTGGAGCTCTCCTAAAGAAGGTAACATTGGGGGGCAGGCTGTAGACTGCATGCATTTGGAGTCTCATCTCTAAAGGGGATGAACTCAGCAGCTGAAGTCTTTTTATTCCTTTTTATCCTTTTTATCCTTTTTTTTTTTACTTCGTTGATATTCTTTGATTGTTTTAATTCCTTTTAAAGAAGTTAGACTACAGACAGTTACTAGTGCAATAGCATAGAACATATTAGAGATACTTAAACGTCTAGACGCTGGGCAGAAGGGACAGCTCTTGGTTGCGACATCACCAAGGTCACATGCAATGGGAGCACACACCAGCCTCAATACCAGGGGATACCTACACCACGATTCTTCACTCAGTGTATTTTTTTGAGATGAATAAAACTAGTTCAGTTGCTTGTTACCATAACGAGCCAATAAACTCACAGAAGAAAACGTGACATAAACGTAACGTGAACTCAGACTTCTGTCACGGCTTTAAAACATCGTGCCAATTTACCCGAAAATATGAACATACATCGTCTGCAAAATAAAGAATACTTAAGAATATTAATCCCTCATTTCGTCAAGCATGTAGTCGGTTTCAGCCTCACTCCAAAAGTAAGCACTTTATTTGATTCATGTTTAAATATGTGAATTACAAATTTAAAACTCTAGTTGTTCTCATAAAATAATGTTTACATTCTTTTGTCGTTTTTTCTTTTTTTCTTCAATATTATAACCCTGTCTTTGGAAGGGGCTGCTCCTGGTAAAAATCCCCCTAAAGAAGGATTACAGAAGTTTAAAAAGACACTGAAAATGGTATTGGTCCACTTCACTGGTCAACAGAATACACAGAGGTTGAAATTCACTGGTTATACCTAATTGTGATATGAATAAATAAGAGAGTAACTATATTCATAATAAGTGAGAAGAGAGGAAAGACATTTATGGTCCAAAAACTGAACGTCTTTCATTTTGTACCTTAAGTGTGAACCTGCAGCCCCAAGGTCATGAACAGCCTACGGTTGTGTTATCACCTGGCTGGTTTTCTGTCGAAGCAACAGAGATAAAGTTTATGCGGAGGAGATGGACAACTCCTTTAATTTGTGGCACACCAGCACATTCCTCAGCACCAGGGGAGTTTCAGGGTCACATGGTCTGCATGTGCACAGATAGAGCAATAAGAGTTTGTCATAGCATTGTGTGATTAACCATAAAATCAGCTATTAATGAGTGAACCTACTGTTGTTGCAAGAATAGCATCCTGATCACAATTGAAATGTCTTTATACTTTGAAAAGTCAAATGCTGGCTCGTCCTGTGGTTCCATGATTTTGCCCAGACAGCGTGATCTTCTGGTTAAAAAAACAAGACTGAAAAATTATGTCCAAAGCTCTGCTGTTGGCCAATATGACTGTAAAGAAATCCAAATTTACCTTAAATTCATGATGTGCACTCCAACTTTTAACCATAAAATATCTGCCTTGACTTAATACATTTTTGTTCCCACTATTATTGGTACTTATGGGAAAAGCTTTACCAAGTTTTTATGTCATAGGTTATTTAAAGGATATGTATATAATGTTTTATATATAAAACATCAGAGACTGTGAAGAGCAACAGTGCTGACAGCTTAGAGACACGTAGTCTAAGCCATGATCCATGTGCACGTTTTATCATTATCAAAACTCCTATGCAAAGTTTTGACCATTGAAATACGAAGATATTCAAATACCCCTTTAGAAAACCACTATGGTTCCTTTGTACTGATGGATCTGTTGGAACTGAAGCCCATGCTCTACTCATTTTTCTCCTCAGCTTTCTTGTGTATAATTGCTTTTAATCAGGTCTGAAATGGACCACAAACAGAGATGGCTGATTGTTAATTACAGAGACATAACATGACTCGGCATGGCATGATGCTGCTTTTTCTTGATTATTGGCTGAGCCAATATATTTAACCTCTTATTCTCCAGGGTATATTTTGTAGTTTCCATCTGAATTTACATGAGCAAATCATAAGGCAAATTATTCAGTAACTGCATGAAATAAATGTAAATTTTTATTTTATTTAATTCTTTTTTGTAAAATCTCCCCTCAAATTAACAGAACATGTTTTATGATACACATATTTCTATATGCTTACAATTTACTGCTTAAAGCCAAAAATCTTAGACGCTCTTTGTACTTTTTTATAAAAGAGCAGATCACTGAAGAGACGCCATCTGTTTATAGTTTACAGCCCAGATTTGTGGAAAAATGGGTCGACTTTCAGTAGACAAAAAAATTGTGAGTTCAGCTTCTTTTATTATAAGGGTTTAAAATTACATCACCCATCTATTTGACTGGAAAGAAGACAGTTACAGCTCTCATATGACCCCCACCTTCTGAATGTAGCTTATGAAATATGAAAGTTATGAAGAATATGACGAAGTGCGTTTTGGAACCACTGTTGGCCTCAAGGAGTTGAACAGGTTTAAAGTGAGCTATGTAGAATTGAAGCATTTCACAAGAAAAGCCAAGATAAGACAGATAAGAAAAGAGCATATAAAAGTAGGTGGTTATGCTCAAACTACTCAATCAGTCTTCTAACTTGCATGAAGAAATAACATAATATGACTCAGTGTACTGAATTTGTTACAGGATTATTTTGACAACATTTTAATTATCCAGCTATTAAAGCACATAACACTGGTGACACATAGAGGTTATGTGCTGCCTGATAAACAAAATTATTAACAAATTAATGAAATATAGTGAGCAGGCGTGGACTCGCCTTCTCATGCCTTGAGAGGCTTCCTCACTGATGAGCCTCTACCCAAAGAAGCAGTTTAATAGAGCTGAAAATACTGTGTAATATAAGCGTCCTGATAACGGCAGTGACCAAAATCTCTGTGACAAATTATTTTTTTAAATAAAATACATAATTTTTAAATGTAGTATAACATTATTTATTCAAAAAGTAAACATGAATCTGTTTTATACAAATTCCTAAATTAAACCTCTTAAAAATAATGTTTTATATTAAAAATGGTTTCTCAAATGTTGAAAACTGGTTTTGTGACGAGCTGTTTTACAGACGCAGAGCGACTATGAAACAGGATAAAAAAAGAAAAATCATAAGGGAAACGTATTTAATCTTAGATCAACTCTGTAAATGTACATACTGTTTTTTGGAGCTGTGCCTGCTATTTTAAGCATCTTTTTAAGCCCTGCAACCTTTGTGACATGGTTCTACACTCCAAATGGAGAATGATCCATGACTGTTTTTCTTTTCTTTCAGAACCATCAGTGCGTCGTTCCTAAAGGAAGGGGACAGACTGAGATCAGCAGCCACAATGCAAGCTTACGCTATGACCTCGTCAACTGTCCAAAGGAGCGATCTACCTAGTCCACAGCAGACTCCCTGCAGCAGACAGCCCGGCCCTACATCACAGAGTGGATATTACAGTGTACAACAAAGGACATTAAACCAATGGAATGCTTCCCAATTTGTCGGATTAAACAACGGACACTCTTTCAGCTCCTCTGCCCAGCCTCATTCAAGTTCAGCTCATTTGCAGTCAAGTCCTGTCAGCAGGAATGATCTGCCTGGTCCACAACAGACTCTCAGTAGCGAGGGGCCTGGCCCTACATCACAGACTACATGTTACAGTGTGCAACAAAATACATTAATCCAGTGGAATAATAATACTCAGTCTCTTGGCTTAAGCAATGGACAGTCTTCCCAGCCCAATTCAGGCTTGCAGTCAAGCCAAACTCCTAAGTTTCAGTTCGCTAGCCCTTGGAGTCAGTTGCTTTATAGAACTTCAGCTTCTTTCAAAGGTCCTTGTCCAAATGTTACTGTGCAGTTTCAACAGTCACCACCTGCTCATCTCAAAGTCCCTACTGTAAGCTATCATTCCCAGTCATCACATACAAATACCACTATTCAGGGCTATAAGAATATGCCCCCCATTCAGAATGTTAGTTGCACATCTAATGCTGTTTGGTTTCCTCCTGTTTCTAGCAGCGGAAGCTCTGTATTAGAGAATAACCAGGCGCATGGTTCTGTTCCACCAAGGTATCACCCTTCAAGTGGGCAGTATAACAGAATGCAAATCATGCACCAACCTGCAGCTCAGCCCCAACAAACGTCTCCAAATGTTCAGGTCAGTCAGGCAGCTCAGAGAATTCAGGTTAACCAAGGTCAAATAAGAGCGGTAAGAAATGGTGCGTCGTACGGCTCTGTTGCACAGTCCTCTGCTGCAGCACAACCGCCCGTGGTGCCGTCTCTGCCCCCATCCTACAGAGGCCATCATACCATAATTAGTCAGGGCCAGTCACAGCACAACGTAAATCAGGTTCAGAATTCATCATACAGAACACAGAACGTCAGTCAGAGCCAGGTAAACCAAGGTCAAAGCGGTCTGACGAGTTTTGTAATTCAGAGCCAGTCAGAACAGGCAATAAATCAAAGCTCATCAGTTAGCCAGCCTCAGCCGCAGGTTTTTGGAGACATTCTTGAAGAGGCGCGAAAGATGCAAGCACTGCAGCGCAGCACCACTGTACCCATTTCTGGCCATCATAGCACAACAAGCCTTCCTTCATTTCAAGCCCATCAGCGCAGCACAGAGCCACAAGGTCTTCAGTCAGACAGCACAATGGCTACGTTGACTAGGACCTCCCAGGACACAACATCTCACATTTCTCCTGCTAATCAAGCCCGACTTCCCACCCGTTCTGGACCTAATAGATATTCTAAAGAAACTCTGTTGAGCTTACTGCTACAGCGGGATGATGGACAAGTTCAAAGTAAAGGCAACAGTCCTCTGTCCTGCTCCAATAGCAGCTTTAGAGCTCAAGTTGTTGAGAGTAGAGGTGGACACCAGCAGACAACAAGTCCTACCACCACCAGTGTGGCAGACTGCCCTCGGACACAAGCATCTCTCTCACAGAATAGCGTTCCTTCAAACCCAAGCAAAAGAGTAATCCAGAGGGTTGGACCAGCACCCCCCAAAGGTGTTGAAAGAGCAGTAGAGGGGACTAAGTCCAGCAGATTACAGACTGAGAGCAGTGATAAGAGACACAGAGAGGTGGAGCACTGTACAGATCCAGCTGACTGTCTGGAGCTAGTAATGGCACTGCAGAAAGCAGTTCGGCAATTCCACAGAGCAGTCGCGATAGTTCCACCCATTTCTCAGCAGGCTGATCCTGGGGAGAAGGAGGATGGCCCCCCAAGTGCTGATGACAGCCTGCCACTCAAGATTAATGCTGTCTGGAGTCTTGATAAGGACGATGAAAGCTTGGAGAAGGAGAAGACGGCACCAAGTCTGCCTGAAGAGATCAGCAAAGAGCCGCTTGAGTTGTCTTCTGTAACACTACCTCAGACGCAGGAGGCGATCAAGCCTGGAAACGGATCTACGGTCAACATCTCCATCTGTACTCCATCTGAAACTCAAAGATTTGACCTTCCCCAGGCTGATAATGGACCTACATCAAAGTCCCCAAGCTCTAACACTTCTCAAGCACCTATCTGCTATATTGACTTAACAGAAAGTCCAGTACAACAAAATGATGACCTAAATGAGTCTCATTCAGATTGTGCTGCATTTGATTTGTCCACAGTTCCAGTAACTGCTTTTACGCTGGGGAAACTACAACACTTAGTGAAGTCCTTAGAGGCCTCATCTGCAGAGAAAGAAAAGGAGACAGCCACGGACCTTATAAAGTCTATCCTTGCTCTCTACTGGGATGGAGATGTGAGAAACATACTAAAAGATAGACAGGAAGCGCACTGGTTAAATACTATAGCTGAAGTGTGCATAACAGAAGAGCAGGCAGTGGTATTACAGTCCCTTGAACCTGAAAACTTAAAAAGGTTGACATGTCATTATCACGTTCTGGAGAATGAAATCACATTTTCAGATCAGTTCAGGTCATCATGGCTGAATGTTGATGGAAATCCAGCTGATATAGACAAAGTTCTTGCAGAACCTGTTTCAGAATATGACTTCACATGGTGCAAGGATGCTTCACAGTCAGTGCTTGATAACACTATGAATCCTAAAGATGTTCTGGTCCGGACTGGTAGAAAGGACGATGAAGCCCAAGTTTTGTCCACCCTAAAGGAATCATCTGAGACTACGTCAAGGAACATTGCTGTGAATCCTGCACACGCTCTTGTCAAGGTTGGTGGAAATGATTCTGAGGACCTGGTTCCGTCCACTCAAAAGGGATTACCGGAGACTACAGCAGATAATGCTGCTAAAGAGAATGTTATTTCAGACTGCGGTCTCTCAGAGCCTGAACGTGTAGCAGCTGATTTCCAAAATAATGCAGTCATGCTTAAAGAGCCAGTGAACTTATCATTAAAGAACCAAACACACATCCAGCTACACCGTAAACCAAATTCTCAGTTGCAAGATGTAAATACGAATCCTGCAGAGTTCATGCATTCAGCTGGGAAACCATGTGGACTGAGTGAAAATGAGAAAGCAGAATACCGAAAAGACCTCAGAGGCACTAGAACAGATGCGTTCTCCACACCTCTGAGCCCAAAGTCAAATCCAAACGATATCATTGAGCAAAAAAACAGAATAGATGATGAGCAAACGTGTGCCGAATTGCCTGTCCCAACTTCACATCTAAACGATTCAGATCAACATGTGGAAAATGATGGCAGCACTTGTGAGAGAGAAGATATTTCCAATGTAAGCTCCCCCGACGACTCCCTATTGATGGACATCATAGTTCTCTCTTCTGACGATGCTACGACAATCTTCAAGTGCGACAAGCAGAAAGAGGCCCCTCGGGATGATTCAAAGTTGTTTGCCACACTTCCTCTCACTCAGCCAAACAACCTAAATGGAGGGGCAGGGACTCCACCCAGTCATGTCAAATTTACCTGCCCTCATGTGACAGACATAATGTCTGATGGTGACCATTTCTGCTCCAAGTGTTGGGACGAGACACCTTTGCTTGATATAGACCTGGAAGAAGCTCTGTTGAGCCCAGAGGAGGGTGGACCTAATGTCACGAGCAGCCCTATGAGACCAGTTGAAACACAGTTGAAACAACTTGAAGAACTAACTGAGCCACCATGTTCAGACAATGCCAGGATAACTGAGTCAGTCCTACTCGCCCCAGAGGTTGATGACTCTGAAACCACGAGAGCCCCTGCCAAACCAGGTGTTGAGAGACAAAGCCCTAGTCCACAGTCTGGCAACCTACCATTTCGAGAATTATTTGGGCCTGCAGGCTCAGTGAGTTCCAAGCCAGTTCTAGAGGATATCTGTGAAGTTGAGAGTTCAGCCAGAGCTGAGTTGCCCATGGCCATCGCACACCCAGAAAAGATGAAGTCATCCCAAACCACAACTTTAGCAAAAAGACTTTCTTCATCAAAGTATCTGTCATGCAAAAAGCGGAAACTCTCCAAAGCTCTGGCAGCGGCTGCAGACAATAATCTGTTCAGCCCTGGTGTGATAAATGCTGGTGCCCATAAACAGCAGTCAGGTGTTCAAAGCTTTACCTCTAGCAGTGACGGCCAAATTTCTGGAGATGCAAGGAATAAAGTCAGGGGAGAAGAAGAAAAACGCACTCCGATCAAGATCAGAATTCAAACCAATAAACATTCCACTTGGACTGAAATGGACGGAAAGGCACCTTTTAAGCTTCAAGTATCAAAGGCTGTTGAGCCTCATCAGCCTAAGAACGTAATACCTCAGAAGCCAGAGGGACCAGGATGTTCTCCACCGTCAGGTTCTGCTGCAAGTCAACAGTCGAAGCATGGCCTATCGAAACAAGCTGGACAAAAGAAAAGCGTAAAGAAGGTGAACTTTTTGTTGTATGGGTCCCAGAATAGTGATAGAGATTTTCTTCACGAATGCCATGACAGAGGAAAGTCTTCCTCAGCTCCTGTTTACATCTCCGTTTCTGCTGCTACTCGTGCTGGCATGAGCTACACGGATGTGCCTTCAGCAAAGCAAAAGGTCTACAGCCAGTGGAGCAGCTCGTTCGTGCAAAAACAGAATACTCTCTCACGTAGGAAATACCAGAAGAAGTTTGAGCGTGAGCTCAAGAACAGAATAGAAATACAGAAACAAATAATGAGAGAGAGAGCCACGTACAAAGCTGGGAGGGGAAAGCAGCTGACAAAGGGCCTGAAGCATAAAGGGGACAAAGATAAAGCACAAGAACCCAAAAAGTTGAAGACCACCATTATTGAGGATTATTTTGGTTGAATGTAGATTTGCAACAGTATTTTCTTGGTAAACTTGGTACATTGATCACCGTGTGAGACAGTAAGGTCATACCATTTATCAGAATTAAACTGAGATGCTTTTGACAGTTGTAGTTGTTGACCAATGAAGTCCCTCTAAATACTCTAATTGGAGATATATCCTTTCATTAGTTTTCGGGGCTGATATCAGCTGCTCCCACACTCTGTACTCTCGGAAGCTTCAGTGCCTGAAGTGGCTAAAAGGAAGACACCAGAATGTACAGGATCGTGTTCTCTTTCCAGTTGCTGTAGTGTTTTTACTGTACTTTAGGTGGTTGTTGTTTTTAAGTGTGTATATATTTGTACCGTGCTTTGTTGAATAGCATTAAATACATGTCTCTTTTTTTTTTTAAAGTTTACCTTTTTTGCTGCTTTGTTGTTGATGAGGTGCTCTAGATTTGTATATTTTTTACAATACAGTTTTACATTTTTACAGAAACTGTTGTACTGTGTTACTTGACAATTTTCTGCAAGACTGGACTCTTCCACTGTTTGTTCTTGAGTGCTCAATTTGCGGACATCACAAGATTTTATTACACACAGCTGCTGTCAGAACAAAACCTTGTATCTCCGAAATGTCAACTGTGCAGAAGAAGGAAAAAACATGCTTTACTTTTACTGTAAGTCTATGGAACCAGAATTTTAATCTTGGGGAATTTTGTTTGGTATGTTCATAAGATTTACACACAATGTAAAGAGCAACAGGCATTTTCAGATTGTCAAAAACTGAAAAACAGCAAAAAAATGGAGATACAGGCTTTTGTTCCGAGAGCAGCGATATACTCGCACACGTTCTCACAATGTGATAAGCTGACCAGTTTGGTAATTTTTTGACCAGTCAGTTGACTGGTGCTGTTTTTGAAATCACTCCAATTTTTCAAAAATGGTTATACAGTGTCAGACATCTTGTTGGCATTGTTTGAAGAAATCTGTCAGCCTGTTTTCATTCTCCAGTCGGATCCAGTGCTGTACAGTAAATAGTGAATTTATTACTGTCTAATTTTATCGTTTACATTGAAAGATGTAGCCTTAATGAGTCAAAAGCAGAAAGCATGCTAAAATGTGATGTGCGTGCGCTGCTGCGAGTCGACCTGTAAAAATAATTTAACCCCGGCATCAGGTGACATTTTGCAGGTACTGTTCGGCTCGTTTCAACCATCTTTACGATTTAACATCACACGCAGACTCAAAGAGGTCAGGCTTGATGTTTAGGTCTCAAATACAAAATCAACATTATACTGATGAAGATACAATGACAGTAGATAAGTCATCCGCATTCTTGGAAGACACGTCCTTCATGAAGTTTTGACTGAGTTCTCTTTCAGTCAGGTTCATGCACTCAGGGAAGGGGACCAACATTATAAAATGTTCTTCCGTATGTTGCGTGCAATTACGTACTCCCACCAGAGAGGTCTCCAAATCCCCAAAATTTGCATAGTGCAGCTTTAACGAGTATGCAGTATACAGAACACAGCAGGGGTGAGGGACTGCAGATAAGTTATTTAGCATTTCAAAATGATTCAGTGAAGTGTGCTTTGAAATCAATAAAAGGTTCTTTGACAAAACTATTAATATTAAAATACAATTGATTTTGCATCCAGAGAAAACAAGATTACAAAGGGTCAGTTGGGTCAATTAAACTGTGTATATGTCAGAGAAAATGGTCCACATGCACAGACAATAGAGTAATTGTGTGAGTCACAGCTTAACTCGCAAGCGGAAACAGCCATAAGCGGCTGCGCTGCGGCTTCTTCTCTGTTCAATATAATCATTACAATTTGCAGTTTAGTGAAGATTGTGATTGTAGTTTATTGTCTTCCTTCATTTTTCTACCAAACTACAGCTGCACTGATGAATCTGAGGGTCGTTTGCTGTGGAGAGGAGCTACAGTGATCATAACCCCCCAAATCAAAATCAGACCTAATGAGCATCTCGGTTCATCATCGCATCACATCAAAACCCGTCTGACAGTCCCAGGGAGCTGTTAGCTACATCTGCACAGGACAAATAACACGACCTGTAGCTACTACTTTATTTTGTTTGCGCACAAGTAAAAAAAAAAACAAAAAAACAAACGTGTGTTCAATTAAAAAGAAAACATGAACACAATTAAGAAAACGAGAGAGCGAATTAAGAAATCGTGATCACGAATTAAAAAAAACATTCACTCTAATTAATTTGGATTTTTACCTCCATCCTCATTCAGGGCTCCGTAATAGACACCATTTACACTGCATATTCAAAAGATTGTAGACACAATTTTTATAATCTCCAAAAAAAAAAAAGCATTGACAAATAGAACATGATGCTTCATCATGCCCATTGCCAAACGTGGGTATGATGAACAAGCTGGGCACAAGAGGAACATAAAGAAGGTGGAATTTTTGTTGTATGAGTGAATAGTGATAGGTGTTTTCTTCAACGATGCCATCCCTGCTGAAAAAACCCATAGAAACCTACATGGATGTGCCTTCAGCAAAGCGAAAGGTCTACAGCCAGTGGAGCAGCTCGTTCGTGCAAAAACAGAATACTCTCTCACGTAGGAAATACCAGAAGAAGTTTGAGCGTGAGCTCAAGAACAGAATAGAAATACAGAAACAAATAATGAGAGAGAGAGCCACGTACAAAGCTGGGAGGGGAAAGCAGCTGGCAAAGGGCCTGAAGCATAGAGGGGACAATGATACTATACAAGAACATAAAAAGCTGAAGACCACCATTACTGAGGATTATTTTGGCTGAGCACAGACCTGCAGCATTATCTTTTTGGTAAACCTATCGCATCAATCACCACCATGAAGCGAGCTTATAAAAGCCGAGCTTATCTGAATTAGCCTCACTTAAAGGGGAGTTCCACCAATTTTTCAAAATGTATGCCTAATTCAATCATTGAGATACAAGCAAAGTCATTCAGAGTGGTTTGATGTGAAATGGTTCGTTTGTACAGAATCTTACAGACTCAGGTTTCTGGTGATGGGAACCAGTGGTCGCCAGGTCTACAACACAAATATAGCCATTTTATTTACTATCCAAAACCTTCAGTGAACCTACACGTGCCTTCTGAGGGTTTATGTGTTGTTGTGGAAAAATATCTCCACAGCTTTGCTCCAGACACTCAAATAAAACTCAAAACACCAGGATGGGCAGGAAGAGGCACAAATTATTTCAGTGAAGATTAAGGCGATCCAGATAACAAGTTGGCTGAGGCAGCAACTGATCACCCCACAAGAATCCATGCTTTTTAAACTGTTTTTCTGGGCAAGGAGGGGTCAACACCTGGCCTCTTCTTACCTCTCCCAAATATCTCAGACCTTCTCACCACCAAATGTCCTCCAAATGTCACGGTAACCTTGAACACCCTTATTTCCAAACTTTAGATCATTTAAATGAGTTTTTCCCCTACGTGGCCTCGTCATCATTAACATCATAGTTTTTTAACCTCATTTCCAAGCCAAGATTTTTTTTTTTTCAATTATCACAGGCCAAGGCTGCTCTCAGGCCTAACTTTCAAGTTTATACGCTTTATCTATTACTTTGGATTTATGTGGTTTTATTTTTATTTCTGCTGCATGTGCACTTTTCTTTTTTCATGAAGTCACAGCCTTTGATAAGGCCTCCCTGTCCCAATGTCTGAAGGTCACTCACAGATACACACACACACAATCACCCACACAGCAACAACTGCTCATCCACAGCTAAAGCCATACGACACACATATGAATAGTTATGATTCTATTCATCTATTACTTAAACTTTGAAAAGTCTTTTATATTAAAAGTCTCCCTTAATGTAATGTTGATAATGGTCAAACAGTGGCAAATATAGAGACAAAAAGTTTCACTGGGGACTACTTTGCCTTTTAACACCCTACATGTATTTCTCCACCATTTATGGATTTTAAAAGTACATTGTAGCCCAAATGTTTATCTCAAAACTATCACAGAACAATGTTTTGGGCATCAGGCAGCAAATTCACCACTATTTAATGTAATAACTTTCTATGAGGGAGCTTTTAGAGGCATTAAACTCTTTAGACGTCTGGTTCCTATCACCACCACACTGAACAATTCTGACTCTGCAGGTTTCTCTAGAACAGAGCATTTCACACCAAACCACTCTGAAAGACTTTGTTTAGATCTTGACCATTTAATTATCCAGAAATTTTGAGAAATTGGTGGAGTTTCCTTTTAGTTTAGCCAAACAGTCTACTTCAAGCTCAGTGGGTTCTGCTAACACAGTCCAGGAAAGATATGTTCCCAAAAATTTAAGCCACGATTCGTGGCTCAGCAGCCCTGAGAGGCAATCTCTGCTTCAGCTTTGTGAGCTATACTTGCTATACTGCACGATGCTCCCAGGCACAAAGCTCTGCTTGAGGCCTTCGACATCAAATTTTGTGAGGTTCTGTGGTATCTAGAGCTCCATGTGTTATCTGTTTTTGCAGGTTTGGAATGTTTAAGTTAGGGGGCCCCTGGTCCAAAGATCCAAGGGAAAGTCCCATAGGGAATGGGCCTCTTTCTCTTCCTCTCCCTTCCTCTCTTAGTTCCAGATGGATGAGATCATTTTAAATAGGACCATATGTTCTGTCTCCTTTTTCGACAACAACCACCCTATATAAGCAGTAGGTTATACTGTTCTGGAGGGGACACTTCAGAATTGGCACAGATCCCCTCTCAGGTGCTTTATAGTGCTTGATATGATACAGTTTTACTTTGTAATAAACATCTTATACAAGCAAGACGGTGTCAGCAGAGACTTCTTCATCATCTTCATCATCGCTATTTAATAAACAACAAGAATTTGGGTCACAAACAGGATTGCGAACAAGAATTTGGCGTCACGAATTCCGGATGTGTTGTGGCTTGCTGCGTCTTCGACAGCCTTAGCGCATGGCTAACAGCCGGCAAATAAGGTGAGCATTTCTCACATGATTGGGCACTGGTTCGTTCTTTGGGGCTGTTGTGTGTTTGCTGTCTAGTCGCACCATAAAGAATCATGTGTGTGTACATGCCAAGCTGTGTTGATGTTTGGAGTGCTTCTCCGTTCTCCGATAAGGTGAGCTAAACAACACCATGCGAGATTAATGAAGGTTGGGCCCTTATCTTCTTAACAGTAAGACGTGTATATTAGTCACTGCGTAAAAGTTGGTTTGGAGAAATAGTCAGATCAGGTTAAAAAGGGAAAAAAGTGAAAAGTAACAGCCCGGGGCCCTGGGGGAATTAGATTAAGGGAAAAAAGAGGCAAGAAAAAGGGAAGAAAACATTAAAGAAAATAGAGAAGATAAGAGTTAAAGAGAAAGAAGAGAAGTTAAAGAAAATAGAGAAGTTAAGAGTTAAAGAGAAAGAAGTCGCAGATTTGGACCAAAGCCCTCTGGGAGGCGGTTTTAGACAGGCCTAAAATCCTGGAAAATCACTAGGTGAATTCTGGGTCAGTTCTAAGGAACTGGAGGTGTGGAATAGAAAATTCAATTGTAAGTTCCCACCCG